CTATAATAGCTATGATGGCTAATGTAAATAGAGAATGTAAACATGGAAGCCCTCCAAATCAAAGGCACTCTATAATGTATAAATCATGTACACAGGCACATTTGTATACTACATGCACTGTATTATACATACAATATTCAATATATTTGTATAGCTAGTATGCACATGTATGTAATATGCATATAGATGTATATTTATATGTGTAAGTGCATATTAGGAAAAAAAAACAAGTTAACTTTGGGAAGTAAAGAAAGCTAACAACTAGGTTAGTCAGACCTCCTGACTTACGGCAAATCCAGAGGAGAGCAAAGGAGAGGGAATCTCACCTTTTTTGAGGTTTTAGTTACGGGCCTGGGCCCTGTCATTTTAGGCCTGAGGTGAGGCTGAACATGAGGGAGGTGAGGGTGTGTGGTGGCCACTTTATGGTGGCCAGGAAATAGAAGGAAAGAGAAGATGACTGTGCCAGCGGTCTTTTTCTTTTTTCCTCTCTCTCAGTCCACGCAGAGCTTCATTCTGTAGGATGGTACCACCCATTCCGGCTTCCTCCCTTAGGAACCCCTTTCTGGGAACATCTATAGACATACTCAGAGGAAAGCATTAGTAATCTAATTGATTCTCTGTCCCATCAAGTTGATGATCAAGGCTAGGCATCACATTGACAACAACAACAACAAAACTACCACCCCTTATGTGAGAACTGATGGTTCTCACATTCCTGTTCTTTCAAAACCCACTGAATATAACACTAGGAAGGAAAGGAATGTTTTCTGGCTTGTCTGGACTTTTCTAAATGGCAGGCAGGAACTAGTAGAGGCTTGAGTTCCTATAGGAGAGAGAAGTTGTAGGTACTACATATGCAGGGCATATGTGCCTCTGTGTGTGTGTATGTGTGATGTGTGAGAGAGAAATTTTGTGTGCACATCTTTTCATGAAAGTATATGTACATGTGTGTTTGTGGACATATATATGTATATGTGATTTTCTGTGCATATGTTTGCAGGTGTGTTGTGGTGTGTGTGTGTGTGTTTGTGTGTGTGTGTGTGTGTGTGAAGACCAGAGGTCAATGCTGGATATTTTCTTTAATTAATCGCTACCTTATTTTTTTGAGACAGAGTCCTTCAAAGACCCTGAAGCTCAGAAAATGAGATAGGCTGGCTGACTAAAGAGCTCTAGGGATCCTTCATTTCTACCTCACCAGGGCTGAGGTTTGAGGCAGGTGCTGACATGTCCAGCTTTTTTTTTTCCTCCTCATAAGTACCAAGATTCCAAATTCCCATCTTGGAGCTTGCATGGCAAGCAATTTACTGCCCGAGCCATTTCCCTAGCTCAGATGTTAAAGACTTCCAAATTAACAGTGATCTGTGTGAATGATACTCTGTAACCAAACTGTTTCCTGGGGTCTTCTGCAGCCTGCCTGTTTTCCTTTTCTCCTTCCTATCCTAGATCAACTCTGGGATGCCCAAATGCTTTCACTGTTACTGCCCAAGGTTGAGGGTATACATGCTGCTACACCTTGAATGTGAAATGTTCCCAGTAGGTTGTGTTCGAACATCTGGTGACCAGCTGGTGGCACTATTTTGGGATGCTGTTATGGAACATTGAGGAGGTGGAGCCTGACTGGTGGACATGGATCACTGGGGACTGGACCTTAAGACTGGCCCTGCTTCCTTTGCCATTGTTTACCTTCTGATCTGGTAGCCACATGAGCAGCTTCGACACATGCTCATGGCACCGCAAAATCACTCTGAGATGCTTCTGAAACTATGAGTCACAAAAAAAAAAAAGTTGCTGCTGTCATCATATCTTGTCACAGCATCAAGCAAAGTAGCTACTACACAGGCTAAGTATTCAGCCTCAGGAGCAGGTTGTTTGCTCTCAAATTTCTTACTGAGTTAAGAGAGACAGAGAGTGAGAAAGGCATCTCAACAAAGAATCGTCAGACGCTTCTGATGAGAGGCCCAGACAGTGACTTCCAGTGTCTCTCTAACGGGCTGAAGTAGTCTTTAACAGTTAAATGGTCAATTTGTCCATGCCGATCCTGATTTCCAGTCATCCTAGTCGGGAGGGCCAAGATCCTGAAAGCACAGATCGTAAAAGCAATGAGACTCAAACCTGCACAATGGCAGCAGTGTACACCGTTGGCACACAAGCAGTTAGGATTTTGCCCATAGATCAGGGCTGCTTGTACCAATGCTGCATATCCCAACCATTAAGGAATTATGCATGTACGTTATGCCCTTGGATCCTGATGTGGCTGGAGAGACAATCTGACAAAGGGCCCTTTTCCCTGGGACCTAGACTGAAGTCGTGAGCTGTGGGCCAGTGTGGCATTTGTGTCTAGCTTACACATGCCCACTACTCACTTTAAATCATCTACTATGTCTTGTGGTTATGGTCTGTGGGACACTAAAACAACCTAATTTAGGCAAAATTGATAGTGGCCCAGGCAATGGAGTGACGCAATGGAAGTTAGCATCATTCCAACAGATAACGAGAAATCACTTTTTCTCTCAGGCCAGCTGTTGAGCTGAGGCATCAGTCTTTAGCCACTGGGCTAGGGCCTAACCCATTAGCTTTCCTGATTCTCAGGCTTTCAACCCAGCCTGGAACTGTTTTATCTGCTAGAGTGAGGATTCATCTGGCAGATGGCCGATTACAAGACTTCGGCTTTGAGGTGGTTTAAATAGGTATAGCCCCATAGACTCATGTGTTTGAATGTTTGACCCACAGGGAGTGGCACTGTTAGGAGGTGTGGCTTTGCTGGAGGAAGTGTGTCACTGTGGGGGTGGGCTTTGAAGTCTCATATATGCTCAAGCCATGCGTAGTTGGACAGTTTCCTTATGCTGCCTATGGATCAAGATGTAGAACTCTCAGCTCCTTCTCTATCACCATGTCTGCCTGCGTGCCACCATGTTTCCTGTCATGATGAAAATAAACCAAACCTCTGAAACTCTAAGCCAGCCCCAATTATGTGTGTTCCTTTAAAAGAGTTGCCGTGGGGCTGGAGAGATGGCCCAGAGGTTAAGAGCACTGACTGTTCTTCCGAAGGTCCTGAGTTCAACTCCCAGCAACCACATGGTGGCTCACAGCCATCTATAATGAGTTCTGGTACATAATAAGATCTGGTGTATGCATAATAAATAAATAAAATCTTTAAAAAAAAAAGAGTTGCCGTAATGTCTCCTCACAGAAAATAATCTATGTATGAAATACAATTATGGTCTATGTGTATATGTATATGCGTACACTCTGTCCAGAGAAACTTGCCAACTGGCATTTGGTTTCAGTGTTGGATCTCCATTGATGCCATGCTTTCAAGGAGACTGCATAACAGTGGATAAACAGGTCTTGAGAGTGAAATAGTTGAAAAGTTTGAAAACATAAATTTGGCCATTTCAGTACTGAAGCAAGATCTTTCCCCTTTGTTTCAATCTGATTCATGGATCTCTCTGTAGGAGCTCGATGGAGGTCCATCCGGTGACTTTAGGTGGACCGGGGCCACCTGTGTAGCCAAAACGGAGATGTTCTCCTGTGTTCTACCACAAACAGCCACAGGACTAGAGAAATTCACTTTCTCCCTCTGGGGCTGTCTTCAATCATGCACGGCTGGCATGAATACATTACTAAGTGCAAATCACATGGGAGGCTTGCTGAGAACACCTGTTCCTATCTATGCCTCGGAGACAAAGGCTCAGAAGATCCAAGGCAGTGCCTGCAAATCTGAATTGTATCAAGTCCCTGGTTGGATCTGATGTATAGGTAAATTTGGGAGAGCCAAACCAGATACTCACAAATACCATAAAATACCTTTTCTAGTCAGAAATGCCAGCAAAAGTAACTCCAAGTGGGAAAAGATAAATGTTTTTTAAAACATTGTATATTTTCTGTTTTTAACCAATATAATACGAAAAAATAGGAAATAATTTTTGTCTTCAAAATCTACCACTTTTACCTTTTTGAGCCCTGCAAAAATAAAGAATATTTATGTATGTGCTTTTTTTTTTTTTTTTTGTATTTGTCCCATTTTAAAAAGCTTTCGCGTATGGGTGTTTTGATTGCATGTATGTCTGCACCACATGCATTCAGTGCCCTCAAAGACCAGAAAAAGACATTGTATCCCTCTGGAACTGGAGTTTCATATGTTTGTGAGCTGCCAAATGGAACCTAGGCCCTCTGGAGGATCAGCCAGCGTTCATAATTACTGAGCCATCTCCAGCTCCATATACTTGTTTTTGGTTTTTGTTTTGTTTTGTTTTGTTTTTATTTATTTGCAATAAAATGAATCATATTGGGTTACCTTTTGTTTTTAAAAACATTTTATTGACAGCTGCCCAGTTACTGTGCTTTAAAGCTTTTACAAATCCAAGAGGTCTCTGTCTCGATTATTTGGGAACTAGCTGGGATAGAGAGTCTAATATCTAATTCCACAACACAGCCCTTCCTGAATTCAGGCACCAGAGGCTGGGGAACTCCTTTTGCTGTTCCACCAGCAGTTCCAAGTCCTAAGGGCTGGGTAGGATCTTCTATGCTCCTGGGTTAGCTTGGGGGCAGGTGTGGAGTCTGACTGTTCCCTGGCAGGGAGGCCTGGGGAACTCATGAACCCAAACTGTAGCTCTTGAGATTCTTCCCTGTGAGCCCCTCCTTGCCAAGGTCTTTCTTTTATTGGACCAGGTGATAAAGTGACATCATTGTAAAAGCCTTCCTGAGCCGGCTCCCATGGCCTTCAGTCCTCCCTGCACTTAATCCGGTTGAGCTCTTACTGCTCATTCACTGGCCTTAAGACTGCTCTGGGTGGCTCCCTGGCAGTGCAGCCAAGTGGAGGGGCCTTGTTGACACACTTCCTGGGCTTAGTGACTGCCACCGAGTACTTAGTGACAGACAGTAAACAAAGGCAGCCTTAGGAGGCCTGGGGCTGCTCCTTCAGGAGAGAGACTTGCAGGCCATTGATCCCTGTGTATGGCTGAGAAGTTCTTCCAAGGCGAAGGCATAGACCAGTTTGCAGAGACCTCTGGATGCAGTCATTGACAAAGGACACAGGTACTGCTGCGCACGGCTCTTTTCTCTTGTAAATCTGGACCAGGGAAAGACTGAATCTCTGGCAGATGGGGATAGGGAAATTAGTGTGACACAACTGGGCCCAGCCCTGCATACTGACTCTGAGGCTATTATTTGCTCTAGGCCTCCACTAGGGCCTGATAACATCACATTTGTTTTCTAAGCAAAAAGGAAGGACTCAAAAGAGAAGATATTATTTGATATCACTGTTTTGTTGTTTGGCTTCTATGCAAATTCAAACAATGTCTTAAATTTTCTAAGACTCAGTTTCCACATCTTTAAAGTGTTAACAACAACAGTCACATGTTTAGTGTGTACTCTGCCAGTATTTAGTGTTTAGTGTGTACTCTGCCAGTAAGCAATGGCATTTCTGTTTCCTAGAAATGAATATTTTTGTTATTGCTTAAAAACATGTCCCTTTCAACTTCATGTTCTTTGATGTGAATTTGGGTTGGCAGAGACCACAACAGTAGACTTGAAAGGCAATATGCAATGCTAATATTACTTACCCAGAAATTTCTGTGTCTATCTATGTATCTAGCTATCTAGACATTCATTTATTTATTTTTGCAATAAATCAGTACTGTTGTTTTTAACAGTCAGCTACCAAAACTCCTGGTAGTTTCAGCAGGGAAAATAGCTGTCCTCTGTTGTTTCAGTGCTCGTCATGCAGGCATCAGTCCTGAGTTTGTATTCACTCCACCAACAGAAGAAGCCAAGCATGGCAGCTTGTACCTGCAATCCCAGATATAGGCTGGCATGGACAGTTGGACGTTTAAAGCTTGCTGGCCAGCCAGGCTGGCTGAATCAGCAGTATCTAGGTTCAGTGAGAGATCTACCTAAGACTAAAAGATGAGAAGTAATAGACACCTGATGTTGGCTTCTAGCCTCTGTAAGCAGGTGGATACATGAGTATAAGTGCACCCCGTCCCCCTCTCCCAGGCACATCCCCCCTCCCCCAGTACACACAGGATCCTTCTTGGGAATATTGTGATTGGCTTCTACTGGCTAGTTGGAGTCTCCTTCAGGATAAAAGGAAATTTCCCAAAGCAAGAACACAAAGATGGAAAAGTGATGAACTGGAGCAGGGAGGGGACATTCAAGGAGAGATTCAGGATTACCTCGCTCTTTTGCTTCAAAGGTGTACCTCACCAGACAGTTGGAATATTTGGAAAGCACATGATAAAAAGATGGTTCTGAGATTAAATGTAACCCAGGTACTACAGCCTGAAATTCCTTAGTTAGAAAGCCTACACAGGAGGGTTATGAGTTTCATGGGAGTCTGAATGGCAGAGTGAGAACCTGTGTCAAAAAGAAAAAAAGGAAAGAAAAGAAAACCTAACCACAATAACAAAAACTGAAAAGAAAAAGACATTTAAATAGTAGAGGAAGTTGGAGGGTATTCACAGGCTTGAAGAGAACTGACAGTCCTGACACCAGCAAATCCCTGGCAGGGGTGGGGAGAAGAGAGGTGAGAGCCACTCTCTGGATTCCCCTCATCCAGACATGAGTCTTCCATACCATGCTCAGCACGCACTACTTTCATTAACTGAAATATTTAGTCTGACAGGATTTCACTTGGTTAATTATTCTGCTTCCTTTCATTTTTACTGCTGGCTTTGTCCGCCTAGAAAAATGAAGATAATGTACCTTCCCAAAAAGACGTATTATATACCAGATGGCAAATGTGCAAAGCAGTAAAGACATTCCTTCAAAGTCTATGGCCTTCCTGTGCTTCGCCTGCCCCTCAGTTATGGCAGCGGAAGCTGCAGAGCGGTTTGCTAGGCTAATGGAGTATGGTCAGGCTTGCAGTCTGCATGGGAGCAACAGCGGTGGCGCCTTCTCCTCCGCGCCCCCGAGATCTCTCTGGTCTCTGATCCTTTTGGCCACTCTCAGCCCATGTTCTCCTTTTCCATCCTAAGCTCTGAGGCTCAGTATCACATAAGGCCACCTGATACAGAGAGTTTGCCTTGGCTTCTGTTCTAAATCCTTTGTCTGATGAGTCCTCTAAATTCCCTCCCTTCTGGCCTAAGAAACAATTACCCAGGTTCTGTAGACCATTGACTAGTCCTGGTTGCCGGCCTCCTTGATTATAGTACAGCAGTCCTACCACCAAATTCCAAGTGGCTGCAGCTGGTTGTAACTGGTTCTTCCGAACACACCCCAGGGGCTCAGAGAAGTGGCGCCCTGAACTTTAACCATGCAGATGAATCTCCAGATGATGATGCAGCTTCTGACTAGGAGGTCGGGGAACACCAGATGATGCCACTGTGGCTGCTCTGAGTTGGAGGGATAGCCTGTAGGTCCCAAGGCCACTTGCAGCCTTCTCTTCTGAAGCCCTTTCTCTCCTCAAGCCACACATTTGTGGGTTTACAGCTGTTCCACCTCCTGTGCTCACCATGCCAGTGTTAATAACAGGAGTAGAAGGTGTTTGTTGAGAAATTAGCAAATGTCCGACAAGGTGACTTATTGTGCAAAGAGAATTGAAGCGGGTCTGGTCCCCTGCTGACCCCAGAACTCTTTTAGCCACTCCACTGAGCCATTCCCAGGTCCTTGTGTCTGTGGCCTTGTGATTGTTCCAGGGGTCCTTAACAGAATTATCTGCAGCTTCCTTCTTTGGAGACTGTCTGGAGACTTAACCTTTGTTGTGCTCTTGGTTGTTTCCAGCTCTGTTATGAATTATCTGTCCAGCTTTTCTTGCCTTGCACAGATCTCCTTATTTTTCTATCTCTAGGAGGTAAAGTGGTTGTCTTTGCCCAGGATTTTTGGAAATAGTGCAGGTGCTTATGGAGATGATGAAAGAAGAGAGGAAGTGTTTAGAGGGTGGTGCTTAGACTAGTCCTGGTAGGTTGGCACCCACTGAGTGGCAACATGTCAAGACTCAGCTGTCAGAACTTACTTTCCCACAGATAATGTTGTGTGAAAACAGTGTCCTGGCATTTAAAAATGTGCCCTCCCTCTAAACATTTCCTTCCTTCCTTCCTTCCTTCCTTCCTTCCTTCCTTCCTTCCTTCCTTCCTTCCTTCCACTGGCCCTCCCTCCCTTCTTCCATCTCTCATTCCTCTTTTCTGTTCCTATTCCTCCTCCTCTGGGATTTTCATGAAGTCTTGTTATGTAGCCTAGGTTTGCCTGGAATTGGAGATTCTCCTACCTCAGCCTCCTGTCAAGCACTTGGATTACAAGTATGACTCACAATGCCAGACTTTATTTACTTCTTCATTTCTGGGTCAAATATACCCACAAAATAGAAGCAGCTCTCAACATCTTCAGCAATTTGCCCAGTGTCCATGTTGGTGTAGCAGGGACAGGAAAGACTGTGGAGTGCATCTGAAGACAGTAAAGGCTGTGGTGATATGGGGCAACTGCTGGAAGGGCTGATCGGAGGTTCCTAGAGTCTTTTTCAGTAGCCTCTATCTAAGCAGATCCTGTAGAGATCCGAAAGTTGCTGAAGGCCTGTACACGGAGAACTAATGAGATTGGATTTGTGTTTTGGGAATCAAGGACTCTGCAGGATAGAGAAAATATTGGAACATTAGCAAGACTGCATTGAAAGAAACCATTTGGAAGGATTAGAGTGAGCATTCAAAGGGTAGTGCTAATGACCTAGACTACAATGGTACAGGAGGGTTAGAGTGAGCTTTCAGGGTGTTGTGCTGATGCCTTAGACTATAGAGGAGAAAGGTTCAGTTGCTCTGGAGAGAGAGATGGATTTTTAAAAAAGATAGGTGGACGGAGAGTTGAGGGATGAAAAGGAAACACCAGTGGTGCCTGGAGGTTTGACTTGAGTGCCTAGAGAGGCAGTTGTCTTGGTCTGTTAGTAATGCTACAGAGGAATGCTGGAGACTGGGCAATTTATAAGGAGCAGAGCTGTGGTTTTTACAGCTCAACTGCCTAAGATAAAGTCTAAGATGACACCACTGGACAGCCGTTGGGTGATGGTCCAGTCTCTGCTCCCAAGATGGTACCTTGAATGCAGTGTCCTTTGAGGGGAAGAATGCTAGTATGGCAGAAGGTAGAAGGGTATCAAGTTCAAAAGGCACCTGCTCCCATTTAGAAGGGCAAAATCCCCATGGTCATAACTCCAAGTTCTGCCTTGCTGGTGATCCAGTTCCAACATGGATGCTGGATGGAGCAACGATATTTAAACCACAGCAGTGAGCACACCATGGATTTGGATAAGAAAGGACAGAGGAGGAGGAGGAGCTGAAGAGAAAGAGTTCACTCCTGAATGACTAAGCAAGGTTAAGCAGCAGCTGTAGACCCGGAGAAGGCTGAGCTTGGGACTCAGCTGTGGAGATCATGGGTTGACAGTTGATAATTTCAGAGCATGTGAGTGATTCAAAAAGAGTTGCTAGGGCAAAAAGTATCCTGAAGAGCAACATTTGGCTCTTCATTTTTGCGACAGTGCCAAGGAAAATATCTTTCCACACACACTTGTTTGTCAGTTATATCCTTAACATAAATTCCCAGAGAAGGAGAATGTGATGGCAGGTATAAACATTCCTTGGCTCATGCTGTAGAAGGCCAAATTGCTCTAGAGACCCAAAGAAGCCAGCAGCTCAGGACTCTGAGGGCAGCAGCCTCTGGAAAACCTTAGAGCACTGAATGCCATCCACAAAACTCATTTGGTAAGTAGAGAAGCAACATCTTGCTTGTTTCTGTTTGCATCTCTTTTGTTTCATAGAAGGTAGATAATCTCCATGTTTTTAAATAATGCATTATATTTTTATGCCTTTTCATTAAAAAAATGGTGTGTGTGTGAGTGCGTGTGTGTGTGTGTGTGTGTGTGTGTGTGTGTGTGTGTGTGAAAAAGGTATCAGATCACCTGGATCTGGAGGTACAGGTAGTTTTTAATGCTCCAAGTGGGTGCTGGAAACCAAAATTACAAGAAGAGTCTGAGCTATGAGCTCTTAACTGCTGAGCCATCTCCTTAGCCACACGATGCCTTTTTTTCAAATCTCATTCTCCTGCATATAGACTTA